GCCCGCTGGGTGTAAGGGGGCCTGGCATCCAGAAACCCACTGCAGAGACGGGGTTTCTCTCCTGCAAAGTGAGCGAGCTCACAGCGCGGGCCTCGGGCTTCGGCTGCGGGTGCTGCCTGGGGAGCTCTGGCGGCTGTCCCCACTCCCGTGGGCCCCACCCTCTCCCTGCCCCAGGCCTTCTCTGGTGACGGTCTGACCCTCTGACCCTGGTGGCCCCACCGCGGAAGTGGGGAAACTGAGTCAGGAGGCGAGGGCGCTGGTCCAGAGGGACTCTGAAGTGGGGGCAGCAGGGGGATGGTTTCCATTCTGCACGGTGGGGGGCACCCGGCCCTGGGCCCTGCCCCCAAGCTCCCGGTGCTTCCCCCACAGCCGTCACCTCCATCCCCAAAGTGCGGCCACCAAGTGTCACGGCCCCTCCGTCCTGCGGGACAGGCCGGTGCAGGGACGCACTTTTGAGAGGGAGGTGCGTTTATTAAGCGCCTCCTGTGTGCTGAGCCCTGCGGTGGCCGGGACACATGCTACTGCTCCATCCAGCGCCCCCCCCCCCGTAAGTCCGAGGGCCGTGCTGACCCTGCAGGGGACACTGAGCTCCTTCCTGTGTCCTCTGTTCCCCCCACAGGGCAGGGTCGGGAGGATGGGGGTGTGGGGGGAGCCAGCCCACCCTCGGGTCCCTCCCACACCTCACCAGCCACCTGCCTGGGGCAGGTCATCCCCCTGCCCCTCCCCCACCCCCCGTTTTCTCATCCTCACGGGGGGCCTGAAATCACCCCCAGATCTGAGGGAATCGGCAGGCACACGCATGCCCTGTCAACGCGAACCCCCTGCCCTTCCTGTCCACCTCCGTCTCGGCTGGCCGAGCGGTGTCAGGTCGGGTTCACGGCCCAGCACAGAGCGGGCGGGTCCCTGCCTTCCTGCCTCTGTCCCCACAGCCCAGAGTGGCTGCTCAGTCAACGAATTGGTGCCACCAGGCTAAGAAACCGTGGGGATTTAGTCCTGTTCTAACGGCTGCTGGCTCAGGAGCCCCGGGTCTGCTGGAATGTTCTACCTCGTGCTCTGGGTGGTGCTTCTTGGGTGTAGACATTTGTCTCAATCCTTGGGGTGCACACTCAGCCCCAGGAGGCCTCTCCCGAGCCAGGAGCCTGTGGGCCGTGGCGGGCACCCGGGCGGGCACCGTGCAGATGAGCGCTGCCTCAGGTAGATCCCAGGGCGCCGAGGCGGTGGGTCGCTGAGGCCAGGCCCATGGGAGCTCGCGTCAGCTGTCACATGTGGAAACTAGATTTCCTAAATGACCATTTCCCGAGGTCCAGAGGGCGGAGGGGGCCGCTGTCAGAAACTCCCATTGCCGCGTCTGGTCCTGGCTGCTTTTGAAGATGCCTGCCTGGCGGGGCCTCCGCATCCCAGGGCCCAGGCAGTGGCTCCGGGGCCTCCCCAATCTCGGATGTTGGGGAGCACCAAGTGAGGGGGGCAGGTGGTCTGTGGGGACCAGGGGAAGGGCAGGAGCCAACTGTTCCATATTTTCCTGTCGCTCCAGCCCCCAGGAGGCCGCCCTGGAGACATCCCCAGTACCAGCTTGCCCCAGACCAGAGGGAGGGCCTGCCAGGGTCTTGAGGCTCCAGCCCAGCCCTGGGTCCTCTGTGCGCACCGCCTCCTCTCCAAGGCTCTGAGCTGCACCCTCACCATTGCGTCCTCCCGTGGGCGTCCCCCATGCGGGCAGCCTGCTCTCTGGCCTTCTAGTGGGGCTACCTCCCAGGGCCCCCTGCCCATGGCTTTGGATAAGTTCCGCAGGCAGACAGAGCCGGGCAGTAGGCAGGCGTCTCCCCCTGGGGTTCAGGGGTGCCCTGATGCCTGGATGGGGGATTCAATAGGGTCCTCATTGCGCCCCCCCCCCCCCCCCACCAAAGGCCAGTTCTTTTGCAGACGTGGCATTTCTCTGTTGAGCCGTGACGTGGCACGGTAGCTGGTCGTGTGGTCGCTGCCACCACACAGCCAGCCTGGCTCCAAAGGCCGCCGTCTGTGGGAGGTTCCCCCCCCCCCCCACCTGCCCCACCCCACCCCACCCTGGTGCCACACTGGCAGGCTTCTGCACGCCTCCAGATCACAGCCTAGTTCTTGGTCCACGATGCCATTTAGAGAGTGTTTCCTACTAAATAGCAGAAAATTACCCTTTCAGGTTAATGAAGCCGCTTGGGGAGGACCTTGTAAATGTCAGCTCAGGCCGTCCGCCTCCGCTGGCCCCTGGGTCAGGGTCACCGGGACCCAGCCCCTGCAGACTGGAGCCGCCTGTGTCCTCGGCCCCATAGCGCTTCTCTGGGTGCACTCCCCTCTCTGGCACACATTTGTGAGAGGAGGAGCTGCTGGGGTGACTCTCAGCAGCAGTGCCCTCCCTCTGGCCCTGGGAGCGGGGAAGGCGGGGCTCCCCTGCTGGGGAGGCGAGGACAGAGGACAGCGATGCTCAGGTGACCCGGCCGCTGGGAAGGAGGGGCTCTGGGATGTGCCGGTCACAGCCGTGACACGCATGTGGGCGGCAGCAGTGACGGGGGTGCCTGTCCCTGGCTTGTCACATGCACCTGAAACGCCCGGCGCTCCTCTGTGGACGAGCACGGGGTCAGGGGAGCGGGAGTGGGAGCTGGCGGGAGGCCGGCTCAGCAGGAGCGCCCGCAGCCCCGTCATTCCCGGCCGAGAGGAAGGCGCGGTCGGGTTCCGTCTGTGAATAAGCCGGCTTCCACGACGGTGAAGTGGGGCTTACGTGGTATTAATATTTACTGGCACCGACGAGGTGGGAGCTTGGGTGCTACCTTCGCCCCGCGTCACGGGGGCTCCATCCAGATGCCAGCAGGTTGCGGCTCGAGAAGCTGCTCGGCCACCAGGTAGTGGAGGTACCGAGGCCGCGGCGGCTCCTCCCTGTCCTGCCCGTGCTCGGAGGCCTGGCTGCTGCCCCCCCTTCCTCAGCCGCTGCCGGCGCCCCTCCCGTCGCCGTCGCCGGGCGCCTGCTGCCCACGAGGTGGCTGGTGCAGAGCAGGGCCACACGCAGCCCAGTGTGTCCCCGCCGCGAGCAGTCAGCACGCACCTGTCCCCTCGGCCTCCCACCGGCCTGGGTCTCTGAGGGCTCCCCGGCCGCCCCGGGGACTCCGCTGATGCAGGAAGATCTGAAGTTATCGTTGACATTTATGGCCCATTTTCCCTATTAAAATGCTGAGGGCTGTAAATGTCCTCGTAAGGAGCTCATTCATGTTGACGAAAGGGCGGCCATAAACTCCCGGAGCTCGAGGAATGGCCTCCGGTGGTGTCCGGCCGCCGGCTCACGTCCTCTCCGCGTGTGGAGGCCGCGGCCCCGCAGGAGGACGCACAGAGGGTGGGGGTGACGGGCCTCGGGCCCGAGAGGAGGCGGGTGGGAGCTGCTCAGCAGCCTCGTTTTTAGCAAATCCCTCTGGAAAGACCCCATCTCCCATGCGCCTCCCGCTGCCCGGGCACCAGGGGCACCCGCACCCTGTAGGTGCGCCTTAAAGCGTCGGCACCCGCGCCCAGCAGCCGTGTACGCGCAGCGTCGGCGGGTTGGGGCCGGGCAGTACTGTGTGTAGCTCATGGCGTCGGCAGGGACGGTGCCCTTCTGTGAACAGCCCACAGGCCCGTGCGGGAGGGCGGTTTCCTTGTTGGTGACCAGGTCAAAGCGCGGCTCCCATGTCCCCACGACCGTGGCCCGCCCTCACGGCCTCTGTCCAGCCGCCCTGCCACCCTCCTCCCTCCCGGCCGCACTTCCCAGGCGCAGACAGAAGCGCTGGTGCCCCGGCACTGACCAGGATGAAGGCTTAGTGCCACAGCCTCTAGAGCAGCGGTTCTCCACCTTCCTGACGCCACGGCCCTGTAATACAGCTCCTCATGCTGTGGTGACCCCCAATTTCATTGTCACAATTGAACATAATTAAAGCACAGTGACTAATCACAAAAACAATATATAATTATATGTTTTCCGATGGTCTTAGGCGACCCCTGTGAAAGGGTCGTTCGACCCCCAAAGGGGTCGGGACCCACAGGTTGAGAACCGCTGCTCTAGAGGCTGCGGGACACACGGACACAGGGAACAAAGACCCAGAGACGGGGGCTTACGTGGCATTTCCTCCTCACGGGGCTGAAGGCCAAGGTCAAGGTGCTGGCTGATGGGGTCCCTGCAGAAGACCGTCTTCCTGGTGACAGAGGGAGGCTGACTTAGTCCGCTCGCGCTGCTGTAACGGAGTCTCACAACCTGGGGGTGGGGGCCCATAAGCCACAGAATGTACCTGCAGCTCACAGTCCTGGCGGCCGGAAGGCTGGGGTCAGGTGCCAGCAGGGCGGGTGCGGGTCCTTGCCGGG